TCTCCAATGGAGACGTTACTGGGCCCGCTCGAGCAAATCGATGACCAATGGGAGGGCCTTTACTTTACTACTTTACTTATTTTATTAAAATCTATTTTGATAATTTAATACCATCCCAGAGTATCCCAGAGTTCTCAGTGTTTCCTTTTACTCTGTGGGAAGGGCTGGTTTTGTCTGAAGAATTACACACTGGTGATTCGTGTTAAGACTGAAGTTCTGAAGTTCTGTACATGAAAGGGCTTGAGAGGGAGAGAGCTTGGTTCTTTAAGTGAAGTAGTGTGGATATAACAGAACCCCAGGAGCGTTCTGCATCTGAGGGGGAGAAGTTCACTGTAAGATTTGGGACACCCTCTTCATCATTTTTCTCTCAGGTCACCCATAAAAGAGAGACTAGTATTTAAGGTCAATGTGAGACTAGTATTAAGGTCAAACTAAAAATGTGAAAGAATCCATGTCTCTGTCACACCAGTGAGAATCTACCCTGTGGCTCTCCTACAAGAAATAAAGCAGCTAAGGAAATTTTAGGGTTCTTCTGGAGAAGATTATAGTTAAATCCACGGAATTTTGGTCAGATGTGGTAAGAGGACTAGGATTCTTGAAAGGAGTACTCGAATGCACCATTGGCAATGGTGGGAAGGGTTGGCTCTCTTCTGCCTTTCCTAAGAGAATGAAATCCAAGGCTGCTTGTTTCAGAAAAATCTTGTTTCAGCCATACGTGTCTAGAAGGCCTCCTCCCAGACCAGGAATCACTTGTTCGATCCACCTACACAAGGAAGACCCAAATCTTTCCGCGATCTTAGTCAGTTCTGCCCTAAAAAAAGGGAGCACCTTGAGGAAAATATATAATGTTGAATTTTAACTTTCAAACAAAAACAAGACAGCACTTTAAGGTCTAGGGGCGGTGGGGCCAGTAAGTAAACCAACCTGCCTGACCTGCTTTGCTTTTTCTAAGTATCCAGTAATAGGATCCGATTGCATTCAATAACTGAGTCCTATACCCTTTGGGAAAGTCTGCTTCTCCGTGTCATTAATTGTGCCTACTTTGTTCAGAGTGTATAGGCAGTGTCATTGCAGCCAAAGAAACCTGATCCGATTCCTTCCTTCCTATCTTATTTGTAGTCTTTGTGAAAGTCCTAACTAAGCGATTGTTTTCAACAAGTGTGGCCTCTGGTTAAAGTTGAATCCTCTACTGAGATCAACCCAGAATGTAGTGTTCCTGCCACTCCCTGCTGCTCCTGGCCCAGGGTGCAAAGAGCTGTAAACCCCAGGAGCAGCCAATTTTGTAGTGCCTTTTAATACCCAAAATTGTATTAACATCAGCAGGGATACAGATGGATGCACTGCAATAAACTGGAACCACTTGAGAAAAGCCTTTATTGACTCTCAAGTAAATAATGCACATTTTAAAGGATCTAAATATGCATTTACATAATGTGCTATAATTTTTTATTGTGTCAACGACTCACACACACACATCCATAAGAGATGTTTTTCTCCGTCAAAAATTTGGACTCATCCCATTCTTTGTGCATTGCATTAGCACCATGCCAGACTCATAATATGGGTGTCTCTTCTATAGGGCCCGATCTGACAGTCTCAGAGTACATTTAGTGAATCATACCAGTGGTATGATTGATTGGTGTAGCTCCAACGACACTTTCTAAAAGGGTTTGGGAATATTCCTTCAAAAATATAGGCACACTGAAAACATCTAATCAAAGATGAAAGGGACAAAGACAAATAACGGGAGAGAACCACTCTCCCACACACACATACACACAAAGACCCAGAAATTTAGACATTGCTGCAATCTGAAGCTACAACCTAGAGTTTGAGCTTGAAAGCCATCAAGAATCTAATGGGTCTCATTGTCCTGAAGAAGAGAGCAGCTAGCAGGTTCTCGGGAGCAACAGCATATGTTTGATCATAATATTTAGCAGAATGTAGGGATGTCTGTTGCACAGCGGTTTTCTATTTGAAGAAATTTAAGCTCAGGATCTCGAATGATTTATTTTCTGCAAGTCCATGGCATGAGAAAGGGGTTGTGCAGGATGACCCTTTGAAATGCAGACTCAGCAACTGTCTGATTTGAAGCTCCAGACTAAATGACTTCCTGGTACTAATTAAGAACTAATTGATCCTTATAAATCAGTCTCTGTAGGATTAATCCCATATAGTGCCATGTGCTCCTAAGTCTGTCTCAAAATAAATGATGTCCTGAAGAAAAAGCGAATACATTGCTTTTAGTGAAATAAACGAAGGTCTACATTTAAGTTCTTCATGATTTTCTCTGATCCATTTAACAACAACCAAAAGGGGTATTTATAACAAAAAGAGTGGGGGCTTGCCAAAGGGTGTAGTGGCAAAGCCCTTTGCCTTATATGCACAGGACCCTGGGACCACAAAATAAAACAAACATACACGAACTCTTCACCACTCCCTCCCCTTTGGCCCCTGGTCATAATAATAAATAATAATCACAGTAACGATGGAGATGTTCCTGCCGAATTATGTCCTCTATTAATTTTCTTTCACTTTTAGCAATGTGATATTTGTTCAGGTGAATTTTCCACCCTGGCCACCTTCTCTGGTGGATTTCATAATCTAGCCATCATTCATCATTTTCCATTAGGCATCTGAAGCAATGCTGCTTTCATCCTCAAGGTCAGCTTCTGGCTTCCCCAGGGACTCCTGACAATCAAGTTGCTACCATTGTTTGGCATGCTGCAAAAGTTGACTGGATCATTTTGTGGTGCTCAGTACATTCCTAGCCTCGTTTGGGAAGTGCCATGTTCCTACTGTGGTCAGATATGAAGTACTGGGTTAAAGTTTCTTACTACCAAAAAGGAAAATAATACTACATTAGATGAAAAGAGTCCTTTGATTTCTTACCACCAACAGCACGGTCTGCGTAGAAGAGAGGCTCAGAGCCATTTCTTTATTTGTCTTGTGGGTTTTCACTTAAGACACTTGTGGAATTCCAAGATTTAACTTCTATTGTATGAAATTCAGAGTTTTAACAGTTTTTCTATAAACTCACTGGTTCTTTGCCTGGTGGGGGGAAAGGTGGGGAGGATGTTATTTGGTTGGTTGGGTTTTGGTGTGGGGGCTACACCTGGCTGTGTCCATGGACTATTCCTGGCTCAGTCACCAGGGTTCGTCCCACTGGTGCTCAGGAGACCATGTGGATTTGGGGATCAAACACGGAGCTCCAGCATGAAAAGCATATGTTTTATCCTATGCACTCTCTCCCCATTGCCCCCGAAAGCAGTTCTAAATCTACATTTATATAGATATTTTATTTATTGCTATTCCAGTTGTTCATAGTGCCTTCAACAAAATTTTCCTGATTACTGAACATTGTACTGGGCATATCATAGAGAACAATTAAATAGAAAAACTCCTTACTAAGTTGGAGAAGATTAAGAGAACAATCAGTTCAAGGGCTTGGAGGTGATATGACTCTGCTATGAGCAGCTTATGCCCAGGGTATCTTCAGTGGTATGATTAATAGTCAAAATTGGTGTAAATTGACTGGGATACACCAGAGTTAGTGCCTGTGAGTATTTGTTGGACATATTAAAGATGGCGTGATTTAAAGTGTCCCATCGAGTCCTCTCCGCAAGACTAGACTGTTGGTTTTCCTCTAAACCCCAGTTGCCAAAACTAGAGATGACATTCTGTGCTACAAATGTTTAACCAGACCAATCATTAGTTGAAAGCATCAGAATTCCAGAAGGTATCCCAGTATGGAACAAGGACACTCAAGGGGGTCTGGTCTGTGGCAAGTGCCTCCTCCTTTGAGTCACTCAGCTGTGACCCAGGGATAACTGAGGAGGTGGCCATGTCTTGCACAATTAGGCTGCTCTTCAGTTCTGTGTTTCACTCCCAGTCCTTGTCTTAACAAAGTCTTATTCCCTCCTCTTTGAGGCATTCCTTTGTTTTCTCTCCACAGGGACTCCTTAAGTTAAATAATTCAACCACAAAAAAATGAGGAAAGAGCTGTGCTCTCCTGTGCTTTTGGGGGTGGAGCTATTTCTCTGTGAGAAGGACGAGCGTGGCTCTCCCAGTAGTGCTACTGTGCTCAAGTCTTTTCAACCCACTCTCCTCAGGCTTTGCTCATCCTTTGTGAGGCTTTACCAATGGCCTTCTATCTCAAGGGCAAAAGTTCTCTCAGAAAAATTATTAAGCACCTCACATAAGTTTTTAAACCTAATCTTCTTGTACCAAGGGAGTGTTGCAGGGTTCAACTATCAGGGAATAATAGCTGTCTGAGGGTTTTATCAGTTTTTGTGGGCAGAGGGCCAAGGGTTTAGACAGGGTCAGTGCCTCTTCATCCTGTGGATTCCTCTTATCTAACACGTACGCATTTCTGAGTTGGGCTTAGAGATGGCAAAAAGAGGTAGGGGTGGGGGTGGGGAGGTGACCCAGGCCATCCACAAAAAGTGAGGTGCTGAAATCACACAGGTTCATTAAGTGATCATTTACTACCGACTTCAAAAAAAAAATTTCATCCTGAATTAGTCCCTAGAAACTTCCTTGAAAGGGGTCTGAGAGCCTTAACAATGAATTATTGTCTATGGATAGCTCAGCATGAAAGGGGATCCATATGGGCAAACTAGAATTTGTCATATGTAATGTCAGTTAAATCAGGTCTAATCTACCCAATACATTTTTTATTGCTTGCTTCATTAAAAAGGCTCTTAAGGTAATGAATAATCTTCAGCTTCACCAACGATTATTAATGCCTTTATAACTCATGTCCACTGAAAATAGAAAGACAGCTTGAAACTCTATCCTAATCTAACCCTCCATGTTGGTCCTCGAGCCCGAAGGAAGAAACTCGAGGCGACCAGACCAGTGTTAAATTCACTCCCACGAGCAGCTCTCTGAAGTGGGTCAAAAAGGAATTTAAGAAAGGAAGGTGCTTTAGGGTGAGACGCTGTGTCTAAGCAAATGCTCTCTCCGTTCTAACGCCCACATTTTTTTTCCTCCTGCAGCAAGTCCACATGCAACACCATCGACTCTTCATTTTCCGACGTCACCCATCATCCAGCAGCCTGGCCCTTACTTCTCACACCCGGCCATCCGCTATCACCCTCAGGAGACGCTGAAAGAATTTGTCCAACTTGTCTGCCCTGACGCTGGTCAGCAGGCTGGACAGGTGGGGTTCCTCAATGTAAGGAAACCGCTTTTTTCCCCCCCGTTTCTCTAGAAATATTAACCAAATGTAAGAATGACAAGGGGGGACCTTAGGACCTCGTGACATTGCATGCTAATGTTCTGCTGACTGACTGCAGGCAAATGTCATATTTATTCTAGATTGTGGGAAAGTTAACTTGCTCTAAGAGTGATTGGCTGGGCTTTCAAAACAGTGTTTGTGTTAAATTCTCAACTGTCAAGTTTATGGGGATAAATCATCGCAGTGTGAACTGTATAACCTTCTACGGTCTGTGGGCTGATAATTCCACCTCATGTGTACTAACCCTCGGGCTTGCAGGGTTGACAAAATAGAAAGACCAAATAATTTAAAATAATGATTTGGGGGTGGGAGGGAGAGGTAGGGGGGAGAAGGGGGCACAGATGTTTCAGATCAACTGAGTTGATATTTTTAAAAAATACAGTCTTCTAACACTTTAGATCAAGTTGACCAGTACTTGAACTCAAGATGTTGGAAGTATAGTTTATTATAGTTTGTTATTTCTGCAAGTAGTTATCTTTCCCACTTATCTTTGTATAAAGCTAAACAGTATTCAATAACTCCAAATGAATTTTTTTCACTCCCCTCAAACCACACAATCACAACCTAAAATCATATCCCAAATATAATTGGAATTCCAAATGTAATTTTTTAAAAAATTACCAATTTTATGACAAGTTAGAACTAAATATTTCCAGGGGATAGTTAGTTCCAGAGCCAATAAAAATAACAATAAAGAGTTCCCCAAAAAAAGAAGAATGACTACCATAAGATCAAATTAAATTTCCCGTTTCCTTCAAATAACTGCACAGAGCCACAGAGTAGCCCTAATGAAACTCGTCTGATTTAGAAAGTGATATCACACAGCCCTATCGCTGATTTCTCCCCTTGCAGAAATACCTGATTCTGCATCTCTGAAACAGAACAGGCAGCTTGGACTAATGTCTGGTGATGTGTTAGCAGATACATTTCTGTCTAGACAACAAATCAATATGGTGCCTTTTCCTTTTTGCTTGTGTATTCATTTGCTTGGCTTATTCCAAAGCATTCAGTTACAGACTTTTAGCCCCCTCAGAGAGAGCACTCAGGCAAGTTTGCTAGCAAGAAGGCACAGCATTCTGTTGGTCAGACAATATAGTCTTTAAGAAGTCCTACTAAATATCGTAGGGAGCATTGACAAGGGCAGGCTGCTTCACAGACTGGGACCACAGGACCTTTTCCCACTGAATTTTGATTCGAGATTGTCAGCCTGCACATGAGCTATTGTCATTGGTGTAAGAGTAGCTCAGCCCCACCCTCAAAAGAGCCACTTTTGGAAACCATGAAATAAAAAATGGATAGTGCACCACCAGAGAGCACCACATTTTTCCAGTTTTTGTATCAATAGTTTGGACATTATCCTCTATTTTGATTCTTCCGCCCCTCTCGGAGAGCCCAGCAAGCTACTGAGAGTATCTCACCTGCACGGCAAAGCCTGTCAAGCTACCCATGACGTATTTGATATGCCAAACACAGTAACAACAAAGTCTCACAATGGAGACATTACTGGGCCTGCTCGAGCAAATCGATGAACAACGGGAGGACAGTGACAGTGACATCCTCTATAACTGTCAAATGCCCAGTTTTTGCATCTTGAGTAAAATTTTATAGGGCTTTTCATGGGACTCCTGTGAAAAACTTGAAAATGAAATGAATGTTCTTGTGTCGAGGGAAAATTTTTTTTGTTGTTGAAGAGCTGTTATTTAGTTGTTCTAACATCAGGCAGCCAAATAAATATGACTCTTATGGCATATGCTTATATAATTTAAATCAGAATTAGAAGTGATATTTTTCCCTAGCAGGATTTTGACAGCTGAATTCTAAAGTTTCTGTGCCTGATGTTATACAATATGTGAAAGAAATTTTTTATGTTCACTTAACATATTTATTAAATGTTATATAATATCAACTTTGAAGAGTGAAAATAAAATATTTTTCATGTTAGGCATATTTCGAAACTTTATTATTTCTATTATTTCTACAAATAGACATGATGGAATAATATTGTAACTTATGAAATACAGGAAATAAATGCTTAATAGTCATAGGAATTATGAGGAAGCTTGCAGTCAGAACAGAATCAGACCATTCCAAGCAAGAGCGAATCCAATGACAGACCCAGAGCCCTCATTGGCAAATCATTCTAGATGACTGGATGCAAAGAAATAATTCAAGGGATAAGTTGAGGACAAAGCCTTAAGAATAACTTAGTAACTCTTCACCTATGTTTTCTTATGGAAGAATTCGAGCACCCACAACACATAGCAATTTGTGTTAAAGGTACCTTCTGAGCCTTTTGTATCAGAAGCAGCTAATAGTGAATGTCTGTTTCTTCTCTTTCTTGTGCCTGTTTGTTCTCAACCACCACAGCCCAATGGGAGTAGCCAAGGCAAAGTGCACAACCCATTCCTTCCCACCCCAATGTTGCCACCGCCGCCGCCACCACCGATGGCCAGGCCTGTGCCTCTGCCGGTGCCAGACACAAAGCCCCCGACCACATCAACAGAAGGAGGTGCAGCCTCACCCACCTCACCAAGTAAGTATGACTGAGAGTAGGCGTCGGCCACGAAAAATGCGCTGGGCCCTGGTGTGCATGTCCAAGCTTCGCCCCCACACTCAATGGCCTATATTCCATGGACAGCACACAAATCCCAGTTGGTGGGGGTGGGGAAGGGGCCCAGGGAGCATGAGTTTGCAGAACCAGAACAAAGTTAGCACTGCTTCTGCCTTCCCCCCACTACACCAGCTGTAGAAAGGATGGGGTGCTTGGGTGGATGAGCGTTCATCTGGATGAGCATTCATCCCAGGATTGAAATCAAGGTGTAAACTGTTACACTGTGTGTTTCGCTTGAGTGACTTTGAATGCCCTCCTCATGATCATCACACATAGCAGCTACTTGTATGAATTCATAGAAGCCAAAAAGACCCTCATGCTTCTAGCTTGCCTTCCAGTAGCTTCCAGTCCCCAAGCAATGCACCTGATGTGTCATAAAGGTCAAGACACTTCACACATCAAATAGGGGAAGAAAAAGTCAAGATCAAAGTAACAGTTTTAATGTGTGTACATTGAACATCTGCCAAGAGTCAGAGCCTGGCAGGGGATCAGAGCTAGTGACCATGGCAGTTGTGTGGCGAAGGTTGGCAGAGAGAGGAAATAGAAGATAGAATTGGATAGAAAGAGAAAGGGAATTCTTGACTCTCCTATGCATCATCTGGAAATGTGTGACCAGACAGTCTAGGATTTCAAAACTTTTTTAGATGATGAGAATGTGTTCTTGATGAACTAGAAAAAGTATAGTATTTGAGTGTTTCCACTATTTTAGTAATGGCAAAGGGATTACATGAGTTTGAACACTCAACGTTTTGATTTTTATCGGTATTTGGAACAAAGACAAAAGAGGTGATTTCTGGAGGTGGAGTTCCCAGGGAAGGGATGGACTACCTCACTTTGGCAGAGGATGTAATGAGCACCTTCCCCACAACTTTATGATGGGATCACAGGGTAGAAAGGAATATGACAGTGGCCCTAAGGAGAAACTTGAAGGAAGTCTTCAAAGGAAGTAAGACAAAAAGCGAGAAATCGACTGAGAGATTAGAGTAGGCCTGGCAAGAAGTGTTGAATCCGGAATTTGAGTGGCAGCAATGCAAGTTAGATTTAGGAGGTCATGAGAAAGGAACTCCTAGAGAGCCTGAAGCTTTGGGTTTGAGCAGCCTTTAGTATAGTGAAAGATACTCATATGAACCTCTCACTTTCCCCAAATTCCAGTGTTGGGAACATTAAGATATTCACCTGGCAAAATGGGGCAAGGACAAAAAAGAAACAGCCACTGCTGACAGCAAATCTGTTGGATTTTTAACTCTGGGCACTGAATTCAGAATGTCTCCTATAGACATAGGTCTGATTGTTAAGCTAGCTCTGGCTAGCTAATATTCATTTTGATAATCCATACAAAAGTAGTGGGATTTTGGCATGAATTCTGAATTAGAGCAACAGAGATCAAGGATCCAGGGACAAATCTGGAGGTACTTGCTTCTCTTGGTAAGAGGCAGCTCTACCTTTGTCAAAAAAATGAGAAAACTCTGAGTGTCTAACACTCAGAGAAAGCTCTTGGTGATCTAGAAGGAAAACTGGGCTGGTCCACAGATCTTGGGAAGTTAGTTTAGGAAAGACACTCCAAGAAACAAAAGTTCCTACGTATGACCTGCTTTAGTGGGTACCAATAAGACTCAGACCTGATCAGTCTTAAGGACGGAAATACCTCCTAGGGGTATTTCTCCTCTCTTTAGTCCAATAACTTAATTAAAATCTTAATTCTACTTTTTTTTTGCCCTTTTTGGGTCATACCCAGCGATGCTCAGGGGTTAGTCCTGGCTCTGCACTCAGGAACCGCTCCTGGCAGTACCTGGGGGACCGTATAGAATGCTGGGAATCAAATCCAGTTTGGCCCCGTGCAAGCAGACTCCCTACCCGTTGTGCTAGCACCCCAGCCCCAATTCTACTTCTTAATACTTGTTATTTTGTATGGACTCAGTGAGAGATACATTAAGCTTGTAGGGTGGCTCTCCTGAGGACATCTCACTATAGATCTCAGACTTTAGTGCTCAGGCCAGATTAATCTTTCCTAACCCTTGCCAGGTCCTATCTAGTTGTACTTTTTGGATCATGACAGAATTTGTCCATGACCATGCTCTTAACTTGCAGTTAAGTATTTAACACTTTGGCCTGGCCTATTTCAATGCCAGGGTAGCTCACTGCTTGCCCTGGGTACATCCAGTCCCTCATCAGGATCCTGCTTTTGGGGTACTAGGGAATAAGTGCAACTGAGGCTTAAATTGAGAGAACAGATGCCCAGGGGTGAATATCAAAGTCAGTTAACTCCCAAGTTACAGAAGCATAGCATTAGCTGTCTTTCTGTGTCTATACAATAAGGACATTAATCTGAATTAACTATGCAAAGGACTTAAGGAGAAGAGAAAAGCAATATTTACAAGTTAACAGTATCTGATTAGGAGATGAAGGTGATTGACTGGTTGGGGAAGCAGAGGACAAAGAAAGAGATTACAACACAGAGGAATGGGAGCACTCTGATGGGAGTAACCCAATAAACCTAAGCTCCCTGTGGCAACGCAGAAAGGACAAACCAATGTTATCCTACAATAACCACCACCTCCAAATAGCGTGTTTTATTATCTATCTACTGACATTTCCTCTAGTGGAAGACTCCAGGCTTAGAGTGTGGTAAATTATGTTTATAAGAACATGAAAAAGTGACTCAAGCCCCTAAATCGGGCTGATCCCCTGAGTCCATACTTTGGACAGTGCTTCATGTAATGAATCAGAGTTCGGTTCAGAAGATACTCCTTCTCATCCTCCCCAGCCGGCATCAAACATTCCTTCAGCATTATTGTCTTGGCACATCCAAGCCTTATGGTTGCATGTTCATTAGAAGAGTGTTTAAGGGTTTTTGGAGAAAACAAAGTATCAGGAGAAAGAGTCCCAAAGTTGATATAGTGAATTGGTACTTTGGTTTTAAATCACAACCATGTAGAGAAAAGAAAAATTCTACTGATAGTGTAGCAAGGTAAATCTTCTCCCTGTATATTTTAGCTCTTATTTCTGAGGTTTAGCTGAGTTTACCACAATATATTGATTTGTACTATCTATCAGGTATCATCTACTTTACAAGTAAGAAAGTGAGGGTATCGGGGACCTCTCATGTGGAACATAAAACCCTCTCAAATAAAAAAATCTCAAAGCCCAGTCGTTCACACTGATAAGAGATAACAGGATTCTCATCCACTCCTCTACCCCTCGCCCCCAAAAAAATACTGTCTTACAGCCTGACTTCTAATCCATGGTTGTATAAAGTACGAGAAAAAAAATAGATGGACAATCAAACTCTGTCCTCTTTGGAAAATCATTTAGAAGTCCATGCAAATAGCATCCTCACACCACAGCCCAGACACATCTCCCCCTTCTCTGATCATGCTGGTCTCTTCGAACCCCCCCACCCACCTTGAGGGTCCTACACAGAGCTGATGATGGTGCAGTCCAGAGGGCTGCACACTTCTGCCAGCACCTGTCCTGCTGAGAGAGGGTGAGGAAGGAATAGGACAAGTCGCCTCCAGATTCTACTTTCTAATACAGCATATCCCCAAAATATGAGAGACCAGAGAGGGGCTAAGAATCTATGGAAAGGAACAGATGCCAAGACAGGAGGAGCCTTCTCCCCCGTCTCTTAACATTCATCTTGGATCCCCACCCCCTCAGATTGATTCACTCTTCAGCCTTCAGCTCTTGAGCACCTATCTCGTGTCAAGGGCTGCTTTACTTAGCTGCTTAGAGCACAGTAAAATGCTGACTCTCTACTCCAAAGCAGTGTCAGCTATGTTGAGGGAGACAACTGGTAAACCGGCAGTTGACATAGGCGACACAGGGATAGAGAGCTTCTTAGGTGCCACTAGAGATTCGGGAAGGAGTTTGACCCATGTGTAGGGACCTCAGGTAAAGGTGTGCTTGAAGGGGGAAATGCTGAAGCTGTTGAGCGAGAATACCATTTTGTATTGCAATTTTGAAAGAGAAAGAGGAACTTTCCTTTTGAAAAAAACAGCTGGCGCAGGGTGGGGCATTCAAGATCTAAAATTGGATTACCCCTGTATAAAAGATTTAGGGCCCAATATATCGTTTCATAAATTAGGCGCTTTCCTAAAAATTAAAACCAGAAGATGGTTGGGTCCTGTTTATCTTTGTCAGTTTATTAGCGCTCACGTTAGCAAGAAGTAACATCATCATGGCAGGGTATTAGGTACAGATGTTCAGCATCCCAGTGGTCAGTCTGAAACCGAGGCTCTTTCAAAACCATTAATTGTATAACATAGCAGAACCTTTTCTGTTGAGAGCTTTGAAATGGCTATCAGGTAAGATTTGAGAATGAAAGAGAGAAATCTTGCCCAGGGTCCAGAATTCCTGACTCGCTCTGAGTCACAGCTCTGTGGTTCCCTATGACTGGGAACCACACTGTCTGCTCTCTCCCACCAGCAGCTTGTCAGGATGAACCAGGGGACAGATGTGCTATGCTGTAGACAGTTAAAAGGCCAAGGCATCATTCTTAATATCCTCTTTTAATAAAATACAAATGTATGCTGGCCCAAAGCAGAGTGTGTATTTTTAAACTAATCAGTTGCCTCTGGCACCAATACTTGCAGCTGTGGCCAGGAAAACAGGACTCAGGCACATTGGGGGTGGAGGTGGGGCAATAAATACATTTTAATAGAAAAAATTCTTACCAGTGGCCTGGAAAACAGGGGAGTGGGAGTGGAGAGAACAGTTCTGCTCTCAAGGAGAACTTTAATGTTGATTATTTATTTGGAGAAAGAGTGATAGATGATGTCCAATTGCCTTGGGAATCTGTGACGAATAAAAAGAATAATCTGGGGGGCTGAAGCAGTAGCACAGTGGGTATGGCATTTGCCTTGCACACAGCCAACCCGGATTCAATTCCCAGATTCCATATGGTCCCCCAAGCACCACCAGGA